CTGCTCTCCAAGACTTAGACTGGGAGGAATATTGGCATGGATGAACACAACACAGAAATGGGAGTTCTTCACAAAGACTGTATGTGACCACACTGCAGAATATATCCCCGTGGGCACCAAGTATAAAAGGCTACAAATCCAACCTCTGTGTCTTCCGGCCAAAGTGACAAAAGCCATAGATAAGAAGAAAAGAGCTTTTATTACAGATAACAATGAAGGAACGCCATCATCGTTTACACATTACAGAGAATAGAACAGAAGATGCAGAAAGGAAATAAAGGCACAAAAACTGAAAACAAACCACAGAAAGATATCAGGACCACCCCAAAACATTCCTCCAATCTATGAATAGTAGAAAGGTCCAGTCTCAGCATGTAGGCCCTTTACAGAACCATCTAGAGGGGGGGGAGAAAGAGAAGGACAATGTATGAAATCCCTTCTTCAGCTCTGTGTATACAAAGGAGCATGGGGGGGCTCTTGTCCATAATGGGGGATGGTATTGACACCCCCAGATGATCCACATTGGCTCACAATTGATATGATCCAGAAATATTATAGAATAGAATAGAGGTGAATAAAGCCCATGGACTGGATGGCATACACCCACGGGGCCTTACAGAATTCAGCTCTGTCATCTCACAGCCATTGTTTCTCATTTTTAGGGCTCTTTAACCATTAGCCACCCGGCCAATGGCCGTTTGGTGGCTTCAAAAGTGCTTCTGCATTCCGGGGTGGACGCCATTTGGCGTGCTCCCGCACATGCGCAGTTTGCGCTAATGCAGAGCGGCGCAGCGGCGCAATCTGTCACCGGCCGTGTACCTCGGACACGGCCGATGACAGATCTGAGTACCGGCCCCGTTGCCGGTACCATGTGACCTGCTGTGACCAATCACAGCAGGTCACATGACAGTTGTATACAATGGATGGCTTCATTCATGCCATTCATTGTATACTAGTGCCTAGCTGTGAATGGTCACAGCAGGTCACATGCACATGTCATGTGATTTGCTGTGACCAAATCACAGCTAAGCACAAAAAAAAAAAAAAGCTGAATGAATCCATTTCATTCAGGTAAATGCTTGCTGAGAGGAAAGTAATTCTTTGCTATAAGCAAATTGTGTAAAAAAAAAAAAAATACTGATCACTTCCCCAAAGTAGTACAATGTTACTATGGTAACATTGTACTACTTTGGTCATAGTAAAATATGAAAAAAAAATCTTAAAAAAAAATTAAAAAAAGTAATACAAAATTAAAAATAATAAAAAAAAAATAAAAAAATAAAAAAAATATATATATTTATATTTTTTTCATCCTGTCACCAGTCAGTGTCCCTGATCACCGCCGTGCCAGTTATATGATGACGCTGTACTGCACTGGTGACAGTATGTAAAAAAAAAAAATAGTGAAAATAATTTTTTAAATTTTTTCATTTTCCGAAAAATTATGACAAAAAAAATACAACTTCAAAAAACTCGCCATGCCTCTTATGAAGTACGTCGGACTGTCTACTCTGCAAAAAGGGGTCATTTGGGGGATATCTGTACTGTTCTGATATTTGGGGGATATCTGTACTATTCTGACATTTGGGAGATATCTGTCCTGTCCTGACATTTGGGGGATATATCTGTACCGTCCTGACATTTGGGGGATATCTGTCCTGTCCTGACATTTGGGGGATATCTGTACTGTCCTGACATTTGGGGGATATCTGTACTGTCCTGACATTTGGGGGGATATCTGTACCGTCCTGACATTTGGGGGGATATCTGTACCGTCCTGACATTTGGGGGGATATCTGTCCTGTCCTGACATTTGGGGGATATCCGTACTGTCCTGACATTTGGGGGATATCCGTACTGTCCTGACATTTGGGGGATATCTGTACTGTCCTGACATTTGGGGGGATATCTGTCCTGTCCTGACATTTGGGGGATATCCGTACTGTCCTGACATTTGGGGGATATCCGTACTGTCCTGACATTTGGGGGATATCTGTACTGTCCTGACATTTGGGGGATATCTGTACCGTCCTGACATTTGGGGGATATCTGTCCTGTTCTGACATTTGGGGGATATCTGTCCATTTGGGGGATGACATTTGGGGGATATCTGTACTGTACTGTCCTGACATTTGGGGGATATCTGTACCGTCCTGACATTTGGGGGATATCTGTACTGTCCTGACATTTGGGGGAGATATCTGTACTGTCCTGACATTTGGGGGATATCTGTACTGTCCTGACATTTGGAGCAGAATACCTGTCCTGATTGGGGGATATCTGTACTGTCCTGACATTTGGGGGATATCTGTACTGTTTATAACTGACATTTGGGGGATATCTGGTTTGACATTTTGGGGGATATCTGTACCGTCCTGACATTTGGGGGATATCTGTCCCGTCCTGACATTTGGGGGATATCTGTACCGTTCTGACATTTGGGGGATATCTGTACCGTCCTGACATTTGGGGGATATCTGTACCGTCCTGACATTTGGGGGATATCTGTACCGTCCCTGACATTTGGGGATATCTGTACTGTCCTGACATTTGGGGGATATCTGTACTATTCTGACATTCTTGGACCTCAAGAAATTAGATTGGCTGTCAGTACTTCAGGATTGATCAATATTCAGATCTATCCCATAGTTTGTGAACTCTATAACTTTCCTACAGATAAATAATACATCCTAATTTGGGTTATTTTCCCCCAAAGACATGGAGCAGAATACATCTCGGCCTAAATTTATGAAGAACAACATTATTTATTTGTAAACTTTTATACAGAAACAAAGAAAAATGTGTTTTTTTTTCAACATTTTTGGTCTTTTTTTGTTAATTTAGCAAAAATAAAAAACCCCAGCAGTGATTAAATACCACCAAAAGAAAGCTCTAGTTGTGTAAAGAAAATGATAAAATTTTAGTTTGGGTACAATGTTGTATGACCGCGCAATTGTCATTCAAAGTGTGAGAGCGCTGAAACCTGAAAAATGGCCTGGGCAGGAAGGGGGGTGGACGGGTAAAATTGCCCGGTATTGAAATGGTTAATGACTGGCATAGTACCACGGGATTGGTGTAAGGCAATGTGGGGCCAATATTTACAAAAGGGGACAAAATCTTTCCCAAGTAATTATAGAGCTGTTAGTGTCACTTCTATAGTTGGGAAGAAGGGTGACTGGAGAGTTTAATAAAAAGACCACAGAGAGGAGTTCCTGCTGGAAAAAAAAAATTGTAACAGACAGCATGGAGTCATGAAAGACAGAAGTTATCACACAAATCTGATTTCTTTTTATGAGGAGGTGAGCAAAACCTTGGACAGAGGGGTGGCTGTGGACGTGGTATACTTGGACAGAGGGGTGGCTGTGGACGGTGGATGTGGTGGCGGTGGATATACTTGGACAGAGGGGTGGCGGTGGACGTGGTATACTTGGACAGAGGGGTGGGGGTGGATGTGGTATACTTGGACAGAGGGGTGGCGGTGGATGTGGTATACTTGGACAGAGGGGTGGCGGTGGATATGTGGTATACTTGGACAGAGGGGTGGTGGTGGACGTGATATACTTGGACAGAGGGGTGACTGTGGACGTGGTATACTTGGATAGAGGGATGGTGGTGGATGTGGTATACTTGGACAGAGGGTGGTGGCGTGTGGACGTGATATATACTTGGACAGAGGGGTGGCGGTGGACGTGGATATACTTGGACAGAGGGGTGGCTGTGGACATGGTATATTTGGGACAGAGGGGTGGCGGTGGACGTAGTATATTTGGACAGAGGGGTGGCGGGGGTGGACGTGGTATACTTGGACAGAGGGGGGGCGGTGGGACGTGGTATACTTGGACAGAGGGGAGGCTGTGGACGTGGTATACTTGGACAGAAGGGGGGGCGGTGGACGTGGTATACTTGGACAGAGGGGTGGCGGTGGGACGTGGTATACTTGGACAGAGGGGTGGCGGTGGACGTGGTATACTTGGACAGAGGGGTGGCGGTGGACGTGGTATACTCGGACAGAGGGGGTGGCGTGGTATGGATGTGGTATACTTGGACAGAGGGGGGCGGTGGACGTGGTATACTCGGACAGAGGGGTGGCGGTGGACGTGGTATACTTGGACAGAGGGAGGGGTGGCGGTGGACGTGGTATACTTGGACAGAGGGGTGGCGGTGGACGTGGTTATACTTGGACAGAGGGGTGGCGGTGGACGTGGTATACGTGGATTTTGCAAAAGTGTTTGACACAGTTCCCCCACACACACGGCTAATCTGTAAGGTAAAGTCTATGGGCTCGAAAAATCTGAATGTAAATGGATAGAAAAACTGGATAAAAGATTGTATTCAGAGAGTAGTGGTTAATGATTCATACTCTGAATGGTCTGGGGGGGTCAGTGGGGTAACCCAAGGTTCAGTGTTATTAGTTGGATATAAACTGATACCTGTATATTGGGAGGGTTGGGAGCCGGGCCCCGTAATATACTGACACCAGTCTTTTTCACCTCCAGTATTGGATTAAGGTTTGAAGGAACCTCCATACACCATTCCAGAGCCAAGGGCTCTCCAGCGCCCCAATACCCAGGAGGATTTGTGGTAATGGTGGATAGGTTACAGGTAAAGGGGTCCGGAATGAGGGAATCCAACTGAGCACCTGCTGCATACTACATTGGGATGGGGGTCTTTCTTGCACTCTGATTGGACAATCACTTCACTCATCGGAGACACAACATTATAACATATTACACCGAGGAGAGATGAACATTTATATGTGACTTTTACTTGACCATATATAGACATAAGCCCGCCCACCATGGGACAACCCATGAAAACAGGGACCACAGTGTGTCAGAGGCTCTAGAATCACAGCACAGGGGCCCCAGTTTGGATTCCAGCCTGAGCTGGATGGGAGGTGATCCCTATAATACAATATAAAGAACGCTCCGGCTCTGATGGCGTCTTCATGACCAGAACTCATCATATACAAACAACATAGAAGAAGGAGGGAATCAGAATATCTTATTGGATATTTTATTGGTTGTTCAAGAAAAAAAAGTCGCCTTTTTCTTTCCGGAAATGTCCGCAACGATGAAGAACCTGCGGGAGGAGAAGAAAATATATGAAATATCAGAAGTCAAACACTGCGCTACTGCTATGTCAGAGCTACTAGGGGGTATATAGAAGACCGATCACACTACTCGGATCCGTACAGAATAATCGATCAGACTCATTACTATGACATGTGACTTGTGTGACGTATAGTCAAGAAATGTGTCTTCTGGAGTTTCGATAAATGTCGCATTGTCAAGGTTACCTACATCAGTCATATTGTCTTCTCACCTCCAATGGTGTCCCCAAGACCAACACCACTTCCTGTTCACCTCTATATGTTCAATATCCTAATGTAGCCCCATGGGAGGCCATGGTCATAGAGTTCCTTCTGTTTATTGAATGATTGGAACTCCTATGGATTAATCACTAGATATCTGAGCTTCTGAAGCTCCTGCCTGATCGCATCGGGGAAGAGGTGGGTTCTTCTTCTCACAAAAAGCGGGAAGGTTTTGCACTGGCCCTGTGCTATCAATGATCAGCAGGGGTGTCTCATTCCATCCTTTCCATTGACTGAAGGCCACCACTGCTGGAAGCTGCCTAGCTATCCACAGCCACCCTCAGAAATACATGTCAGCTGTTCAGATGGTTCCTGTGTGTCCTCCTGGCAAAATGGTCTAGGTATGGAGGTCCTTTAAATGGAGGGGGGATCAGTCACGTCATGCTGGGGGGGATCCCCTCTCATTTCCTGTCCTGGTGACAAAATGGGAATCTCCCCAGTGGGGACACCAAAAGCAATAAGAACCTTCCAGAAGATCCAGCTCCATCCAAAACCTGGACAAGAGCTAGAGGTGAGCTTGAAATGTGAAAATACAGAAGACTGATCGATAAAAGGGGTTGGAGGCTTTCCTCGAAATCCATGGCCATGGTGATCCGGGATTATTTGGAAGGAATGAGATCTATATTATGGTGAAGGGGAGTGTACGCTCTATGATGGTATTTAGGAAGTGAGTAATCCTCTTGGATAGTCTAATCTCTGGAAGTAGACAGGTCCTCTTGTATGTAGTATGGGTCCCTGATCTCACAGGTATCTACATTGTAGATACTGATGATGAGGCTCCTCCCACAAACAAGAACCTAGCCAATCAGTGGCCTGGGGGGCTATTGTCTGTAGTACTGACCTGCCAGCACTGTCTGTGATGGTACAGCAGAACCGATCCCCAGTGGTATGTACAGTCCCGTCCAACGATTTTATTTGTTCCTCTGCCTTGACAGCAATCAGCAGCTTCAAGTCGATCTGAAATAAAAACCCTTTTTATAGATTGAGCGGACTTTTTCCTGTTGTCCTCAAGACAGGAAATAATGGGAAATACATTATAGACTTGTCTCTGAACCAGGTGTTGGGGGGGGGGGGGGGGGGGGGGGGGGGGGGTCCTTTTACTTTGTGAGCTTTCCTGGTGTATCCTGAGCCAATAAGCCAATCATTCTATTTTATCCAAATGTAATGGCACCTCTGGAGACTCCATATTGGAACTGCTGGATACCCCATATTGGCACCACTGGAGACCCTATTCTGGCACCTCTGGAGACACCACACTGGCACCTCTGGAGACAGCATACTGGGGACCCCATACTGGCACCTCTGGAGACACCACACTGGCACCTCTGGAGACAGCATACTGGGGACCCCATACTGGTACCTCTGGAGAACCCATACTGGAGACCCCACACTGGCACCTCTGAAGATAACATACTGGTGACCCCATATTGGCACCCCTGGAGACAACATACTAGTGACCCCATACTGGCACCTCTGGAGACACCACACTGGCAACCCCATACTGGTACCTCTGGAGACAACATACTGGCAACCCCATACTTACACCTCTGGAAACCCCTCTCACTGGCACTGCTGGAGACCCCACACTGGCACTGCTGGAGACCCTACACTGGCATCTCTGGCAACCATATACTGGCACCTCTAGGCACCCCATACTGGCATCCAATACTGACACCTCTGGTGACCCTGTACTGACACCTCTGGAGACCCCATACTGGCACCTCTGGTGACCCTGTACTGACACCTCTGGAGACACCATACTGGCACCTCTGGAGACACCACACTGACAAACCCCATACTGGCACCTCTGGCAACACCACACTGATAACTCCAATACTGGCCCATCTGAAGACACCACACTGGCACCTCTGGAGACCCCATACTGGGGACTCCACACTGGCTCCTCTGGCAACCTCATACTGGCACCTCTGCAGACCTCCCCCCTCCGCCCCCCATACTGGCACCTTTAGAGACATCACACTGGGACCTCTGGAGACCCCATACTGGCACCTCTTGCCACCCCCATACTGGCAGCTCTGAAGATCCCAAGTGAGAACATCTGGCGACCCTATACTGATACCTCTGAAAATACCATACATACACCTATGGAGTCATTATACTAGAACGTGGAAAAACTCCATATCAGCATTTTTGTAGACACCATACCAACACCTCTGGAGACTCCTCTTTGGCGCTTCATAGAGAACTCATACTGGCACCTCTGGCCACCCTATACCAATACCTCTGAAGATCACATACCTCCATCTCTGGAAACCCCATGCTGGCACCCATGTAGATCCCATAATGGCACCTCTGTAGACCCCATACATTCTGTGTGGTCATCAGGATTGGAAGTGGGAATAAATCTCCCCAGCAGGAGCAAGGATCAGAAACAGGTTAAGCCAGAATGGGGTCTTAGGCAAGATAGAAGAATTGGTCCCCCATGTCTTCAACTGAGACTGTTATGGACTGCAGTGGGCACAAAGCCAACCCAACATCCATATGGGAATGGCCCCTTCCTCTCAGACATCAACTGCCTTCAAGTTCATGCTCCCTTGGGAAGATACAGGACAGTACGTAGATTTCACCAGTTATGCTCCACTCCTGGTTTACTGCAGGTTCATGAAAGCTCAGGCTGAGGACAACCAGCAGACCCTAGATTCATGCCTAGGTTGCCTTAGGAATTGCCAGAGACAGAAATAGAAAAAAAACGAACGTGTTCATCTTTCTAAAGGCCTTCTCTATATGTGATTGTATGTGGACACAGGAAAGCCATGATATACTGTACATAGTGTGTGATTGAGCTTTCCTGATCCTCCCTATCAGCACACCTCCACCAGGCAGGTCTGACCAAAAACTACACAAAGGCAGACACCAGAGAAAGCATTTACCAACCAGTCAACAAAATACGTATTGCAGTGAAAATATGGAAATCTGGTAAAGCAAGGAGATAAAATAATGACATCAAAACTCACTTTCAGATATCCCCTCCATTACTGGTGGTGGAAGCAGAGAGCGGAGATGGCAGGAATCCTTAATCCTCCCACATGGGACGGGTGGCACAAGAGCTTCTCTAGGCCTAGCTCTCTGAATGTCTCCTGCTGGGACTCTCACATTCTGCATATGGTGTCACTGGCTGTCAGCCATATTGTGCAAAACTAGAAATACAAATCGTAATGTGTCACACACCTGAAGATGAGGACTCAGAGAGGACAATTTATCAAACACTTACCGAAAAGTCATCCAACGGTTTCTTCATATGAGGTGCGTATTACAGATGAGTTGGTTGGTCTTTCTGCAGCCGGGGGAAGGAGACTCTTGAGGATGTCAATCAGATGCAGGTACAATATGTAGCCTTCCCGTCCAAATATAAGAATGCTCCGAGCTTGTAAAATCGCATTTTTTCGCTGTTTTGATTCGGTGTGATTCGGTATCGCTGTGAGCTGGTAGGTCCCTAAACTTAGCATGGTGGGGGAGGGGTGTCACTGCAACCGCGTAGGCAGGCTTGGCAATCAGATAAGGTTTTACAACCCCATCATTCGCTACCTCCAAGTCTTGGCCAGTTGTGTCTACTGGTGCCTCACAGACATCAGATTGTCAACCAACCCGCCAAAAACTGGGTCAGCTAGGAAGGGCCAATCTAATGTCCATCCAATGAAGCTAATGCTGAGAGGACCATCATCCTTCAACATTGTGTCAACATTTTCTTAATATCTTAGTACCTTAATACTGACCTCTGACCCCACAATACCTCCATCCTGATCCTTGGCCTTCATCAGGGCTATTGTAGCCCAAATGCCTTTTTGGAGTCAGAAGTCATGTGACTCCTGCCATGATGGCGGTCATGTGATCATTAGGAGTCAGCTTTTTTATAATATGTATCTGCCTTTTTTTTAGTTTTACAATATTTTTTTATTTCTGTTTATTGAGAGACATCAAATTATTGGCTTCTCGGATGACAGGTCCACTTTTATACAGCATTTCAAGCTTTCGGAGCAATTATTCGATGTTCGCAAACTCAACCGTGTCGGTGTTTCATAATTTTAAATTTTAAATAATTTTTAAATATTGTTTTCTTTGATGGTCCTGGCATGATCGGCGCTCATATTTTAAGTGGTTAGTATTAGGAGGAGAAATCGGGATCAGGGAAAAACACTCAGACAAGGACAGACAGGGACAGAGGACAAGACAACAGACAGGAGAACAACAGAAGATACATTGTACAAACCCAACAATGGCTGCCCTGGATGACCTGCCATGAAATGTGCCATAACCCAACAATGGCTGCCCTGGATGACCTGCCATGAAATGTGCCATAACCCAACAATGGCTGCTTTGGGTGACCCACCATATAATGTGCCATAACCCAACAATGGCTGCTTTGGGTGATCCGCCATATAATGTGGCATAACCCAGCAATGTCTGCTTTGGGTGATCCGCCATATAATGTGGCATAACCCAACAATGGCTGCTCTGGGTGACCTGCCATATCATGTGCCATAACCCAACAATGGCTGCTCTCAATGACCAGCCATAAAATGTGCCATAACCCAACAATGGCTGCTCTAGGTGGCCCACCATAAAATGTGCCATAACCCAACAATGGCTGCTCTAGGTGGCCCACCATAAAATGTGCCATAACCCAACAATGGCTGCTCTAGGTGGCCCACCATAAAATGTGCCATAACCCAACAATGGCTGCTCTGGGTGACCTGCCATATCATGTGCCATAACCCAACAATGGCTGCTCTCAATGACCAGCCATAAAATGTGCCATAACCCAACAATGGCTACTCTGGGTGACCAGTCATAGAATGTTCCAAAACCCAACAATGGCTGCTCTGGGTGACCAGTCATAGAATGCACCAAAACCCAACAATGGCTGCTCTGGGTGACCAGTCATAAAATGTGCCAAAACCCAACAATGGCTGCTCTGGGTGACCAGTCATAGAATATGCCAAAACCCAACAATGGCTGCTCTGGGTGACCAGTCATAGAATGTTCCAAAACCCAACAATGGCTGCTCTGGGTGACCAGTCATAGAATGCACCAAAACCCAACAATGGCTGCTCTGGGTGACCAGTCATAAAATGTGCCAAAACCCAACAATGGCTGCTCTGGGTGACCAGCCATAGAATGCACCAAAACCCAACAATGGCTGCTCTGGGTGACCAGCCATAGAATGTGCCAAAACCCAACAATGGCTGCTCTGGGTAACCATCATATAATGTGCCAAAACCCAACAATGGCTGCTCTGGGTAACCATCATATAATGTGCCATAACCCAAAAGCCAATGAAGAGTACCTGTCTCTTATCCTATTCATTACATGCAGCCAATCAGAGCTGATGTCTCTGAACCCCACCCCAGTGTCAGTGTTTTGTCCATCTACAAACTTTCATAAAAGTTCTTCGGGTGATCTGTTGAGGAGGTAAGCCAATGAAAACTTTGAACTGCCCCAGACCTGGCCAATTTGTAGGGAGCCAAATATAACCCTATATTGGCCAAGTGACCAGTTGACACCCCTTTACCCCATAAAAGTGAACTGTAGAAGAGATTTGAACTACATTACCCCAATACCAAAAGAACTTAGTGCTGGGGGCCTAGCAGGACTGTTTTTTTGCACCCATTTGTTGGCAGTCTTTAAACAGAGCAGCCTGTGTGCCCACTGACAGTTGGGCTTGGCTCTTACTGTTGTGCGTTACCTTTCGTCTTCAGGTCTAGTTGGAGTTCTGTGACCCCCATGCTGAAAGACTGTGATTCCTTACACTGTGGAGAGAAGTGAAAGGAATAAATCATCACTGGGGAAGGGGGAAATACACAGAGCATGGATTTTCAGCATTACATCCGAGTGGCAGGACATGGCCCCCAATATATCTCATAGAGACACTGACAGTGCGGCGCACCAAAATACCATAGACTGGGGTCAGCCATCCCTTACAATCGATCCTATAGAGACTCTGATGAGGTAAACATAAAATGGGGTCAGCCAGCTCCTACAATGGATCTTAGAGGCAATGACACAGTGAACTCCATAGGTCAGGGTCAGCCAACACCTACAATCAATTCTATAGAGGTTGTGATGCAGTGAACTCCATAGACTAGGGTCAGCCGCCCCCTACAATGAATCTTATAGAGGTTCTCATGCAGTGAACTCCATAGACTAGGGTCAGCCGCCCCCTACAATGAATCTTATAGAGGTTCTGATGCAGTGAACTCCATAGACTAGGGTCAGCCACCACCTACAATGAATCTTATAGAGGTTCTGATGCAGTGAACTCCATAGACTAGGGTCAGCCGCCCCCGACAATGAATCTTATAGAGGTTCTGATGCAGTGAACTCCATAGACTAGGGTCAGCCACCCCATAGACTAGGGTCAGCCACCACCTACAATGAATCTTATAGAGGTTGTGATGCAGTGAACTCCATAGACTAGGGTCAGCCACCCCATAGACTAGGGTCAGCCACCCCCTACAATGAATCTTATAGAGGTTCTGATGCAGTGAACTCCATTGACTAGGGTCAGCCACCCCCCTACAATGAATCTTATAGAGGTTCTCATGCAGTGAACTCCATAGACTAGGGTCAGCCACCACCTACAATCAATCTTATAGAGGTTCTGATGCAGTGAACTCCATAGACTAGGGTCAGCCACCACCTACAATGAATCTTATAGAGGTTCTGATGCAGTGAACTCCATAGACTAGGGTCAGCCGCCCCCTACAATGAATCTTATAGAGGTTCTGATGCAGTGAACTCCATAGACTAGGGTCAGCCACCCCCTACAATGAATCTTATAGAGGTTCTGATGCAGTGAACTCCATAGACTAGGCTCAGCCGCCCCCTACAATGAATCTTATAGAGGTTGTGATGCAGTGAACTCCATAGACTAGGGTCAGCCACCCCCTACAATGAATCTTATAGAGGTTCTGATGCAGTGAACTCCATTGACTAGGGTCAGCCGCCCATACAATGGGTCTTATAGAGACACTGATGAGGTAAATGCCTTAGACTTGGGTCAACCGCCCCCCCAATGGGTCTTATAGAGATACTGACGAGGTGAACGTCATCAACTGGGGTCAGCCGACCCCTACAATGAGTCTTATAGAGGTTCTGATGCAGTAAACGCCATAGACTGGGGTTAGCTGGCCCCTACAATGAGTCTTATATAGAAACTGATGCAGAGAGATCCAGATTGGGGTCAGTCGGCCCCCACAAAAGATCTAATAATGATATTGGCACCCCAAATGCCATTTACTGGGGTCAGTTTGCCCCCCAAGATGAATCTTACAAAGATATTAATGCAGTGAGCTCCATAGACTGGGGTCAGCTGGTTCCTACAATGGATCTTATAGAGACATTGATGCAGTAAACACCATAGACTGGGGTCAGCCAACCCCTTCAGTGGATCTAATAATGACATTGGCACCCCAAATGCCATTTACTGGGGTCAATTCCCGCCCTTATGATGAATCTTATAAAGATATTGATGTAGTGAGCTCCATAGACTGGGGTCAGCTGGTTCCTACAATGGATCTAATAGAGACACTGACATAGAAAGTGCCATGAACTGGGGTCAGGTGGCCCCTGCAATGGTTCTAATAGAGACAATGGTGCAGCAAACGCCTGGACTTGGGTCAGCCTTGTACTGGAGGGAAATGTAGGTGGTTCTGGATAATCTACAGTATTGTTGGGAGGCTTTAAAGTGAAATTGGCAGCTGAAGTTATTTGCAAATCTTCACTTTCCCTGTAAAAAGCTGAGCTTGGCTAGTTTGCCAAATTTTTCTCAATCACTGCCCATCAAACTAAAGGACCAACAGGTATTCCAGGTAGGCAGATGGGGGATGGGGCCAAGCTGGAATATAAAAGGGAAATGTCAAGGCTTTAGCCTCCAATCTCTTCAGATTTGCTGATGGCTCTGACATGGAGGTTCTCCTAGAGATGAGGGAACCGGTACTGATACAAATAAATACGGTCAGGTCCATAAATATTGGGACATGGACACAATTGTAAAATTTTTGGCTCTATACACCACCACAATGGATTTGAAATGAAACAAACAAGATGTGCTTTAACTGCAGACTGTCAGC